TCAAGGAATTACTGTACTGTATATATAATGAATCCAAGGAAGAAATTTGAGAGATGTACTAAATGCCAGGTTCCGAAGTACAGTACAATAATAACCAAAAAATTATTATTATAATCAAAAAGAAGTGCTAAGCCACAAGGGCTATACAGCTATAACCAAAAAAAGAGCTCTCATGCTGCAGTGTCTCTTATAGAGGTATTCCATTTACGGACTATTTTGCTGCAATATCTTCCCACCTTCACACCCGTTGGCAACAACGTTGGTCTACTATGCTCGGCAACAAACTTCAATCTATTAAACCGAGTATAGGTTACTGGCCGTCTTCTTATCACCAGTGTCGAGGTTGGGAGACTACTCTCTCCTGTCTTCGCATTGGCCATACTCGTCTTACTCATGGATATCTCATGGAGAGGCGTCTTGCTCCTCTCTGTGAGAATTGCCAAGCTCCATTATCAGTCAGCCACATTCTTTTGGACTGCCCACTTTATCAACGAGCACGCAGAATTTACCTCTGTCGTCGTCTTCGCTCCGCTGCTCTCTCTTTACCTTCCCTTCTCGCTGATGGACCCACCTTTCATCCGGACTCTCTCATTGACTTTTTGACAACAACTGACTTACTTCACAAATTCTGATACCTTCAGCCCTTTCTACTTCAATCTCTTGCTACCCTCTTCCCCCGTACTATCCCCTGCCCCGCTGTTTTCTGTAACCTGCTGATCATCCCTCCTCCCTTCTGCCATCCAATACCCTCGCTTCCTTCCCTACCCTGCAGCGCTGTATAGCCCTTGTGGCTTAGCGCTTCTTTTTGATTATAATAATAATAATAATAATAATCATGCTGCAGTGTTTGCTTCTGCTGTACCTCTCTTTCTCTCCACTTCTTCTCATCCACCTCCCAGAAAATTTTATTTAGTGTACTGTATACTGTTATTTATTTTTCAGTCACTGAAAATTTGTTTGCTTGCTAAGTTCATTTTTATTTATTTATTTAGTGTTGAATGACCCACATGGGTTTAGCACTTTGTTTAGATATAATAGTACATTGCCAACAATTAAGATTGTCAAACACATCCTGAAACCTTGTGATGTTTTCGTCTAATTCCATTCCTGTTCTTCTTGTAGCTTTTTTCTCTATCTTGTGGTCCCTTGAGTTATGACAGGCTGGAGTTATGATAACTTTGAGTTATGATTTACAGTTATCAAGGAATTTAGTTTTGAGTTGTGAGGAAAAATATGATACAATACACATTTGTGATTTACTTATGCCATATTTTGTGTTACCAAGCTATTGTGGCCCCTAAAATATGCAGCAAACAGAAGATTTCTCTGAAGATCAAACAAGAAATTGTGTAAAACATGATGCAGGAGTTGGACTTAGTGCATTGGTGTGTGAGTATGACTTTCCACAATCAACTGGCAGTGCTGCATGACCCATATGGGTTTAGCACTTGGTTATAATTATAATAATAATCCACAGTGAACCATCTCTACTATTATCAAGATATCAGTGACAAATTACCATAAAACCATGTATTTTGAGGTTTGAGTTAAGACAGTTTCAAGATACGAAATGTCATCTGGAATGATACACAAATAACCCGCACATAAAAGAGAGAAGCTTACGACGACGTTTCGGTCCGACTTTGACCATTGACTTTGTCAATGGTCAAAGTCGGACCGAAACGTCGTCGCAAGCTTCTCTCTTTTATGTGCGGGTTATTTGTGTATCGTTCCAGTCACGGTATTGTGCCTTTTTGTTATTTAGTCATCTGGAATGGATTAATGCCTCAACTCAAGGGACCACCGTTCTCCCATATGTTGCAATTCCTTCTTTCAAACATAGCTGTTGTACTGATAATGTTACATAGTATTATCCTTGTCTCTACTTTTATCCATGACTGCAGAAATAACCCTCAGAAAACTTCTATTTCATTATATTGTTTTGTATTGTAATATAATTATTAAACTAATAACACTCATCCTGTTAGAACTAATTATATTTTTTATTTTATGAATTTGCTTGTAACTTAAGTTCCTATTAAAATAAAATGATACAATCTTAAAAAGGCAGTTTATGCAGCACTTGAAAGAAATGAGTATCTTATTGGACTCTCTTGATCTGTGTAAGGCTTTTTTGACACACATGATCACACTATTCTTCACAAACTTAATTACTACTGATCCAGAGGGCACATATGGTTTAAATCCTACTTAACAAACAGATGATACCACATAACAGTACTTCCTGAACTACCCAACTAACCAAATTGGGTGTCTTCCACTAGGCTCTCTTCCCTTCTTCCTCTACTGTACATCACTAACTCAGCAAATGACACACAGTTTTAAGGCGAGGTATGATAGAGCTCATGGGGCAGGGAGAGAGAGGACCTAGTAGCAATCAGCGAAGAGGCGGGGCCAGGAGCTGTGACTCGACCCCTGCAACCACACAAATAGGTGAGTACAGCATCTTAAGATAGTAAGTACTCTTTGTTGGTGACACAACCTATTTGTTATCATACTCTGACCCCCCTGACTTTAACACCATACATAATGATAAATTCAAAACTTTTGGGAATAAATCATGTGTAAAATTAGACATCTTTATAAGGATAAGGGTACATTCCTAGATTCACAGATAATAAACTGAAATTTGATTCTCGTATCCAGCTCATTTAAAAAGCTGTAGGAATACTTTCCAAAATTTAGTACTGTCCCCTGATGTACATTATTAACCCCCCCTATCCCTCAAGAGGTTCCCTGATGCTGATGAGGAGCTCTTGATCCAAGGAATTGGACTTGTCCTCTCCTTCTTTGGACTGAACCTGTCCTCCTCTTCCTTGGATTGAACCTGATTACCTCCCATTCCCCAGGTGCTGTAATGCCCCTATGGGTTTAGTGTTTCCTTCTAAATATAATAATAATATACGTACTATAAACACTACTCTATTTCTCTCTCTCATTTACCCATATCGCACCCAGGGAATATGTACTTGGGATTCTACCTCAGATCTCTACTGTAAAGCAAGTATCACACACAAAAAAAGGAAGCTGTCAAAACCTCAAATTTTAAGCAAATTACTATGCTACACATACTACCATACCATTCACTCCACATTTTCAATACATTGTAATGATGGTGGTGGCCCAAGACACTTCCTGGAAAAGTGTTACAGGCATCACACTTGATAGTCCCCACGTTCACCTGAACCTTTATAAAACCAGACACAAATAAAAGGCCCCAAAAATTTGTAATAGCACCCCAGATGGATTAAAATATGTAACTAAATGAATATAAAACAAAATTTTTAAACAATTTTGTGCTTAATGTATTTTCCTGAAACAATTCCTAATAACTTTTTAAATTGCCATTATACTTTTATGTCCAAGATTTAAAATTCACATTTTTGTTTTCCTTTTTTTTTTTAAACATTTAATAAGGTCTCCAACCATTACTATACTGTACATCATTTCCTCCATGTTTGCTCTTTAATTCTCTTGAAGTTAAGGTTTATTTTCAATGGTAAATCTTAATATAATGTCTTCCACTAAATGATTAATTTTTAACTAAAATTTATTACAAGATATTTTGTATTTTTACAATGTATTAGTTCTATCTTTAGACTGACTGTAATACTATGAATAACTATGGGCTTTTCCTTGTAATATTTACTATTAGACTACTACGTACTGTAGTTCTAATGTATCTTCTTGAGAGACAAAATTATCTTAGCTATCGCACATTATAGTGCAGTGAATCCTCACTTAACATCACTGATAGGTTCCTGGAAACTGCAACTTTAAGCGAAACGATGTATAATGAAATAAATTTTACAATAGGCTAATTGATATAAACATTAGGGGTGCACAGTAACCCCCCAGGTAACCCCCTCCAGGCATGCACTCATTGCAACAGAGTTAACCCTTAAACGGTCCAAACATATATATATATACGTTCACACGCGTAGCACCCCAAACGTATATATGTATACATTTTCTTTGTCATTCATTCAACATTGCCACGATAAGCCTGAGCCACCTAGACATGAGAGAATAGATATGTGCACTCACTGTGTGCCATATTAAAATAATTGGGGATGCCTGGGTACCATATGCTCCTTTTTTCCTTTAAAAAAAAAAAGATTTGTTTTTTCTCAAAAAATTTGGGGCACTACGCGAGTGAACGTATATACACGTTTGGACCGTTTAAGGGTTAAATCAATGAATAAATGTTTGCAAGGCAAAAATTGTAAGGAGCACCTCCTACCACCATACAGTTCAAAAATGAACGTGCAAATTCCACAGAGACAGTGGCCCAGGACAGGAATCAATTTTTACTCATCAACATTATAACAAAATTGACCTTAAGTGAGGACTTACTGTATTTACGCAGTTTACAATATAGTATATGTTATTTAAATGTTATAGCTAATTTTACTCATTGAAATTACATGTCCTGTAATTTTGATAATGATGCTGTGATGTTCCAGATGTTGCATGGTGATAAGATACACGAATCTTAGCATAATATCAATTGTACACGACATAATGCCGAGATCCATGAACCTCGTCATTTATTGTCTTGAACTTGCTGTCTTTCTTTCTGGAAGATGATCCATCTGCCATCCAGTGTTGTGCCAAACATCATTAATGCCCTTGCTTGAGATACAGGCATTAATGGTCATATATTGGTCATATGCTCAGGTGGGCATATGACCAATACAATATTTTATTTCATCCTTGTCACCTTTTTGCTCTCCAGACACTGTAAGATCCCTATATGTTTAGCACTTCACATGAATATAAAAGAATGTTTTTTTTATAAAGTTGAGAAAATTTGCATCAAATTACCTATGTACTTTTTTATATTTATGTGAGTAATAATGATAACTAAGAAAAAGTTTATTAAATCATTACATATGTCCATGAGGGCTGAGTAGTTAGAAGGCTTAAGCTGGAGATCCCACAAGGCTAGGTTAATATTCAGTTGATGTCTTCACCAGACTGCTTGGCACTCGAGAGAAAGGACTCAGGTTGGTTTCAAGTGGTACAGCTGATGGTCCTAAATCTCTGCTTCTGTATCTTCAGCAAACATAGGCCTTATCAAGAAAAACTGTTGAACAGTCCAAGAGAAGGATGATTAGTACCATGCCTTTACAATGAATTGATGTATGAGATGATAGGAAGGTATATTTTACTTTCATATACTATCTGTTTTTCAAAATACAAAGTACAAGATAGAAGATTATGACTACTGAATTTGTGTAGATATAGAAAGTGGTCCAATATATAAAAAAAATGTTGAAAAGGTACATAAACTGTATACTCATAAGTATATTAATTATAAAACAATGTTACAACCCATACAGATCCTGTATAATGTTGTACAAAGTACTGAATTAGTGTGGAATTATATTTTTGGATGAGTGGCACTGCACAAGTTCAAATTCAAATTCATTTATTTCTTTGCAAGTAGTACACTGAGTAAATCAAATAAATCATTCTGTAAATCAAAAAAACTACAGTAGCACAGTAACACTATTCCACACTATTCCTCAAATCCATTAACACAAAGCACAAATATGAAAAACAGTATAGAATGGGTCAAATAACTACAGAACAGTTTAAACGTTACTCGTCAGCTCTTACCAGCCTGATAAGATCTTAAAAATTGTACTATGAAAATAGATTACATAACATCAAAGGTGATATGAAAAAAAACCTGGAAAACTCTATCTGAAATTCTTGGAACTAAAAAGTTATCCAAAAGCAAAACAATGAAACTAACAAAATCAGACGAACCCCTACTCACACCAACTGAAACAGCAAACAGACTCAATGTTTTCTTCTCCACCATAGGAAAAAATCTAGCGAACAAAATACCAAGCTCAAACACACATCCATCAGACTACATCATAGGTACCTACCCAAATATGCTATTCCTAGCTCCAACCAACCCACTAGAAGTCTTGCTCATAATCAACACCCTTAAAAACAAGGCAGGTGACATAAACAACTTGCCTGCTTTTATGTACAAAAAAGCTTCTCAAGTATTGTCACCAATTATTGCAACACTCTTTAACAAATCCCTTGAATCATCTACCTTCCCAACAATCCTCAAAATAGTGAGGGTCACTCCAATCCATAAAGGAGGTGACCAAGCTGACTTGAATAACTATAGACCAATATCTAACTTACCACTGCTCTCTAAAATCTTTGAAAAATTAATTCATAGACGGATCTATTCCTACCTCGTCTCACACAACATATTAAACCCTTGTCAGTTTGGATTCAGGAAAAGTCCCGCTGGGCATTTTCATTGATTTACTTAAGGGTAAGTTTATTAGTCATCATCCAGGCAGATATTTTCTGGAATTTGGCACTGACAGTGTTTGCTAGTATGACTGGGTTTGGGTGGGAGAAGACATATGTAGTGTCATCTGCAAATAATATGGGTTTGAGTAGCTGTGATGCATTCAGTAGATCATTGATGTGGATGAGAAAGAGGAGTGGTCCAAGGGCACTTCCTTGTGGGACTCCTACTGTGATTGGTTGGGTGGAAGAGTTTGCATCATTTGCATACACATATTTGAGTTCTGTTACTAAGGTATGATTTTAGGTAGTTGAGGGAGTGGCCTCTGATACTATAGTGCGTTAATTTGGAGTACAGCAGTTCATGGTCGACTGTATCGAAGCTTTACGTAAATCAATGAAAATGCCAAGTGGGACTTCTTTCTTTTCAAGTGCGGTATATCTTAGTTCTAGCATGTGTATATATTAGTTCTAGTATGTGCTTTTATTATTCCTGAATCCAAACTGACAAGGGTTTAATATGTTGTGTGAGACGAGGTAGGAATAGATCCGTCTATGAATTAATTTTTCAAAGATTTTAGAGAGCAGTGGTAAGTTAGATATTGGTCTATAGTTATTCAAGTCAGCTTGGACACCTCCTTTGTGGATCAGAGTGACCCTCGCTATTTTGAGGATTGTTGGGAAGGTAGATGATTTAATGGATTTGTTAAAGAGCGTTGCGATAATTGGTGACAATACTTGAGAAGCTTTCTTGTACATAAAAGCAGGCAAGTTGTTTATGTCTAGCAGGACACTTGACCATAACACAATTATTATTATTATTATTATTATAATCAAAAAGAAGCGCTAAGCCACAAGGACTATACAGGACCATAACACAAGATCTCTTTTTGATATACCTCATGTCCATATCATACTGTGTAAAAACTCTATGCACATAAAGGGCCCCAAAATTTGGAATTAATTACCAGAAGATACTAAAGTAACCCGGTCTGAAAATCAATTTAAGACTTCTCAAAAGTCACTTAAACACCCTAGACTAAATGCTAAATACTCAGTACACACATACTTATTTATATATTCCCACATTATAATTTCAACAATTACTTTGAGCCTTTTATCCATTGTTGACAGGAATATAACTGAATCATTGTTTTCACAAAAAGCATTTTTTGAATATATGAATATATATTTTGTCTTATATAAATTAGATTCACTTATAATTAATAATCTACTGTACAATTATGATATAATTAATATTCTACTGTACAACTGATACAATTAATATTCTACTGTACAACTATGACATAATTCTTAGTGTTAAGTAGTCTGTAAGCCAATAATGTTAAGTCAGCCCATAATGCCTAAGCATAATAGAAGCTCTCTTTGCATTGCAACCCAATATTGTAAATACAAAATCTCACTGTACTATTTGCAAAGACATGAATAAATAAATAAATGGGTATCCTTAATTTATAATTAGCTAATCAGAGTGGATAGCCTACATCGTACCATACTTAACAATATATTTCATTGTTGTTCACAAGATTTTATTTGTTAGCCAAGTCCTTCCTCATGCTGCAATAATAAAAGTGATTTTTTTTAATTTCAGCAATAATAAATTAATGACTGTGCTGTGTTGACTTTCTTTTGAAAATAATGAAGCTGGGTTTTAGGGAGTATGTTCTACATAAGTTTAATTTTAATCTTACCCTCTTCTAGAAACTATAATATAATCATCATATTAGTTACTCTGACAGAAGAGAAAGATAATATTTAGCATAGTGAAATGGAGAAGTACCAGTTGATAAAAGTATTAAGATGCACTTCTGGAAAAAAAAAAAAAACAGAAGTTGGTGATGCAAGAACACATGTTTGGGAAGTCTGGAAACTGCAGGTACAGTACATTGTGTGTGAGAAAAGATGTTATGGGGTAGACAGAAAACAATGTGTACATGCTAAAATTTAAGACATTGGAAAACTTATTTTCATTTACTAAATTATAAGATAATCATACATTCTTGAAGATTGGTAGTGCACTCAGTTCACACACTGAGGTTCAGGGGTCTATGTCCAACACGGGTGAAAACATTAGGACGTGTTTCCTTAAGACACCTGCTGTCCATGTTCACCTATCAGTAAAATATGTACCTGGGTGTTAGCCGACTGGCGAGGGTCGTATCCTGGGACAAAACTGACCTAATTTGCCCAAAATGCTTTGCATAACAAGGGGGCTCTCTATATGTAGGATGTCATTGATGTCAGCTAGGCGTGTATACCTTGTACATGTACTTATTACCTGGAGTTTACCTGGAGAGAGTTCCGGGGGTCAACGCCCCCGCGGCCCGGTCTGAGACCAGGCCTCCTGGTGGATCAGAGCCTGATCAACCAGGCTGTTGCTGCTGGCTGCACGCAAACCAACATACGAGCCACAGCCCGGCTGATCCGGAACTGACTTTAGGTGCTTGTCCAGTGCCAGCTTGAAGACTGCCAGGGGTCTGTTGGTAATCCCCCTTATGTGTGCTGGGAGGCAGTTGAACAGTCTCGGGCCCCTGACACTTATTGTATGGTCTCTTAACGTGCTAGTGACACCCCTGCTTTTCATTGGGGGGATGGTGCATCGTCTGCCAAGTCTTTTGCTTTCGTAATGAGTGATTTTCGTGTGCAAGTTCGGTACTAGTCCCTCTAGGATTTTCCAGGTGTATATAATCATGTATCTCTCCCTCCTGCGTTCCAGGGAATACAGGTTTAGGAACCTCAAGCGCTCCCAATAATTGAGGTGTTTTATCTCCGTTATAGAGATAAAGATTATATGACTTTTACTAAACATATAATAGCATATTTGTTTTAGCCAAAATAAGTTTTAAAAGTTCAGTTGAAGTCTGGGGTTTGAATCTCCTCCGGTATGGCTGGAAAACACTAGAGACGTGCTTCCATAAGACACCTACTGCCCCTGTCCCTGTTCACCCATCAGTTTAAAATGGGTACCTGGGTGTTAGTCGACTGGTGTGGGTCGCATCCTGGGACAAAGGTGACCTAATTTGCCTGATATGTTCAGCATAACAAGCAGCTTTCTATATAGTAGTTTGTCATTGATGTCAGCTAGGCCTGTATACCATGTACATATACTTGTAGTAAATATATTACATTATTATTATTATTATTATAAATGAATACTAATGTTAAAATTGTGAGTTGAAGGTATAACTCTTGTAATACTTCAAAAGAGGCAATATTTTTTATTGACACATCAGCTGTTTCCTACCGAGGTAGGGTGACCCAATAAAAGCAGAAACACTTTCATCATCATTCATTCTGTCACTGTCTTGCCAGAGGTGCACCTACACTGCAGTTAAACAACTGCAACATATCAACACCCCTCCTTCAGAGCGCAGGTACTGTACTTCCCACCTCCAGGACTCAAGTCCGGCTTGCTGGTTTCCCTGAATCTCTGCACAAATGTTACTTTGTTCACACTCTAACAGCACGTCAAG